TGGGTCATCTTGTTTGGTGTCCTGTTTTCAAAAGGCAAATGAATTAATAATTGAGTAGAGAGAGGACCCTAACTCAGAATAAGATACAAAATCCGTGACAACAATGGATGAGCCATTGAGAGTCGACAAATTAGATCTCTCATATTTTTTGGAGTTTATCAGCAATGATATTGTGGATACGATTCTAACAAAGTTAAAAAAGTAAATTAAAGTATATCTAGTGCATATTGACAATGTGACTAAAGGAGTGCCTCTTATGCACTCTTGAGTTGTTTTCAGGAGTAGTTGGGCTCTTATGCACTCTTGAGTTGTTTTCAGGAGTAGTTGGGTGATTTGTTAACCTATTTTAATGGGAATATTCGCCTATTTTAATGGGAATATTTGCCTATTTTAATGTGAATATTCTGTGGGTGGAGGTTAAGGCAAACAATTTTTTTTTCTTTTTGAAAAAAAAAAACAGTTAATGAATGAAATTAAGAATGCAATTGGAAGCTAATTAAATGATTTTAGTTTCGAATAATAGGTTTGCTGATGAAATAAATAAAAATGTAAAATAAAGTTATTTATGCGATTCAAAATTAAAAATAAAAATGCAATTGGGAAGTTATTGCGTGCAATAATTTAACACCGAGAGAGGAGTCATCAAGGACACGGGAGATGGGAAATGCACATTGTGTGAGGTTGAGGACGAGGACATTAATCACTTGTTTTTGAATTGCAATGTAGCTAGGTGGTTATGGATGGCTTGTGCTAATTGGTGGGGGATTACCATCAAGTTAGACAAGGATGGTAGGAAAACCTTTGAAAATTTCGGGACATGGACTAAACATCTAAGCATCAGAAAAGGATGGGACTGCATTTAGAACACAATGGTTTGGTCTGTGTGGCTTGCACGAAATCAAAAGATTTTCCAAGATTCGGAGGCAAATAGGGGTAAGATATTTGAACTTATTCAATTAAGATCATTTGTATGGATTAAGGCAAAGAAAGCTAGGTGTTACTTCAATCTTTCAAGCTGGTTGCAAGATCCAATTTCATGCCTTACCACTAACTGTGGAGGGAATTGAGTAAATTGGAGAAGGATAGGTTTGAAAGATGGGGGTAACTTGAATTGGTTGGTATTTTTGCGTGTTTGTAAATGGGTTTGAGTATCCCTTGTACTCAATTTCTTATTAAAAATATTATTTAGCTTTTCAAAAAAAAAATAATAATAATATAACACCAAGTGATGATTACACTAGGAAATAGCATTTAGATATCATTTCTTACTGAACAATTTTACTCTTTAGCTATGTACTAAAGAAATGGCCATGAACTGAAATGAGATCCATGGGTCCTGAATTTCTCCCACTCAACATTTGAGAAAAGTAAAATTTTTAATAATTTTTATATTGCTGCACTATAGTGTATTCTGTGGACTTAAGAGTACCATAACCCTTTGGGCAATGCTCTATAAATACCAAAGCTCTTAAGCTCGTTGGGGCACAAGCAAACCCTTGAAACTAGCATTGCATTTGCATGCGATTTCCCACTTCATCAGAGAATCGAAAAATGTCAGCTCAAGTATTGGCAACTCCTTCTTCACCACAGAATGGAACCTCCCCCAAAAAAGGTCGTCCGACAGCCAGTTTTGATCCTTGCGTTTGGGGGAATCATTTTCTTTCCCATTCTTCTAAGTTCATGGTACGTACATAAACTAAAAAGCACATAAAATTTAGTTTTTTTTTTTTTTTTTTTGCGTTCATATGCATGAAAACCTTTTTATGTCTCAAGTTTTGTCACAAGCTTTATGTGAGCATGATGAACTAGTCAATATTTCTTTGGATTACTTGTGCAGACAATTGACGATGCAACAACTCAACAAGAGTATGAACAATTGAAAGAGGAAGTAAGAAGGATGCTCAATGACACGAACAGTGAACATTTAAAGAAACTGTATTTAATCGATGCAGTTCAACGCCTAGGCGTTGATTACCACTTTGAGAGAGAAATAGACGATGCATTAGAGAAGATATACCATGACGGTGTTGATTGCTCTAATCTTTATAACGTCGCTCTTTGGTTTCGAGTGTTTAGACAACAAGGAATCAATGTCCCATCTGGTTAATCCTTTTCCTCTTTCTTAACATTAAAGAAATAGATTTAATTTTCATGTTATATGTGTCAATTGCCCCTTAACTTGTTCTTTTGGTAGATGTATTTGAGACGTTTATGAATGAGAACGGAAAATTCAAGGCTGACTTAGTTAATGACGTCCCTGGCATGTTGAGTTTGTACGAGGCAGCTCATCTTGCCTTACCAGATGAAGATATCCTCGATGAAGCCATTGCTTTCACAACCTCTAGTCTTGAATCTATTTCAACACAAGTAAGCACTCAGTTAGCAGAACAAATAAGTCGTGCACTGAATCGACCCATTCGCAAAAACTTGCTGAGATTAGAAGCAAGGCATCACATCTCTCTATATTCCAAAGATGATCATTTTGATTCCAACAATGGACAACTATTAAGATTTGCAAAATTAGACTTCAACCTGCTACAAGCATTTAATCGGAAGGAGCTCAGTAGCATCACAGAGTAAGTTCAATTAAATAGGTGATTTAGGCTTCAACTTCATTATGCACATCGAAGGTCTTTTATGGCTTGACTATCTATTTCAGGTGGTGGAAAAAACTGGACTTCACAACAAAGCTACCTTTTGCAAGGGATAGACTGGTAGAGTGCTATTTTTGGGCAATGGATGTCTATTTTGAGCCCAAATACTCTGTTGCAAGAACATTTGTGACCAAAGTATTTATATTAACATCTGTTATGGATGATATTTATGATAACTACGGGACCTATGATGAGCTCCAACTCCTAACCAAATGCATTGAAAGGTTAAATTTCTTGTTTTCAATCAAGTCTCTTCATATTAGTTGTTTTTGAAATGGAACCTACTGAGTTCTTTAATTAACTATTGAAGCGCAGGTGGGACGTTATTGTTATAAATCAACTTCCAGAATACATGAAATTATTTTATCAAGCACTATTAGACATTTACAGTGAAATGGAGGAGGAAGTTGCAAAGGAAAGAAGATCATATGTTGTACAACATGCGAAAGAGTCGGTAAGACATTCACCTTTATTAATTGATGGATCATATTATCCTCTTAGTATGCATTATTAATTATAAACCTTGTTCATTTTAACAGTTCAAAAGAGTTGCTAAAGCCTACTTTGTTGAATCTAAGTGGCGTGAAGAAGGTTATGCTCCATCATTTGAGGAGTATATGAAGAATGCTCAAATTTCTTCTGGTTATCCTATGCTTGTAACAAATTCATACGTTGGAATGGGAAATGTTGCATCCAAGGAAGCCTTTGAATGGATTTCTAATGACCCTAAGATGCTTATGGCTTCTGCAATTCTATCTAGACTCATGAATGACATTGTCTCACATCAGGTATATAATTAATATATATACTATTTGCCTATGTTCCCTAAAATCAAATAAATTTTTTCACAATTTAACATATATATATATATATCTGTGTACGTACAATTTAATATATGCAGCTTGAGCGGGACCGAGATCATGTGTTCTCAGCTGTCGAATCCTACATAAAGGAACACGGTGTTTCAAGGGAAGAAACAGTGAAGATTTTACGCAAAGAAATTACGGATTCATGGAAAGTGATCAATGAAGGTTGTATGAAACCGACTGCCTTTCCGATGCCTCTCCTCACTCGCATTCTCAACTTCACGCGTGCCGCGGATGTGATGTACAAAGACGATGATGCCTACACAAAGTCCTACTTGCTCAAGGACACAATTGCCTCGTTGCTTGTGGATCCTGTTGTTGTTTGAGTCTATCAGAATTTTGAAGCTCTAGCTTTGTGAAAAGATATGCGTGGGATGGTGTTGTTCTTTATGTACTTCAACTTTGTTGCTACAATAAGAGTTCTAAGGTTTCAACTTTCAACAGAACTTACAATGTTTTCTTGTGACTTAATGGTGTTGTGATTTTAAATTAAATCTATGAATATTATTATAAATATTGTGATTTTAAATGATTTATTTTTTATATATATTTATAAAAGTGTTTATCTTTCTAAAAAAATTAGAAAAAAAAAAGATTTTAAAACTATATTATGTTAATAATTAAATTTTTATTAAAAATATTAAAATAATTTATTTTTAAATTATAATTGAGTTTGTTTTGATCTTTTTCCATAGTATTTAAATAAAACGATATAATTTTGAGGAATTTATCTTCTTAATTTTTTAGAAACTTAATTGGTAAACATCAATTTCCTATATAAAAAAGTAAGAAAAAAAATTCAAAATATCAAGCACTTTAAATATCAAAATTTTTAGTAAAATTATTTAAATATTTTTAATAAATTTTTTATATATTAACTTATTAAAGGTATTTTAATATATATACACAAGAAATCGAATATAAACAACACACACCAGTCATAGCAACCATATTGAGATCATCAGACAATACAGCAGTGTGGAAGACACGAGACTACTCGGGCAGTGTCAAATGATTTCCTGTTCGTTTCTTTTTTTGATTTTAGTCCTAAAATTTTCGTTTCTTTTAATGAGGTCCCAAGCGGCCATAGGGTCTCAACAGCTGGGCCTATTTAAATTTGAAAACTTTTTGAGCCTAGGCCCAACCCTTATTCAATGTAGTTTCGCCCGCCCCTGCAAAACAATATAACCAGGATGATTCACTGGAACTCCGGTCCCCGGAGGAATCTCTAAAGTTATGAACTGTTCCTATTCAGTGGCTATGATTACATATTGATCAAACTTAGTTGAAGAGTTCAACTCTTTTACAGGTGTTTGAGCATAGGGCGTAGAGATTTCAAAAGGGAGTTTTGGGATATGTTAATTGAAAGTTATACAAGGATTTAAAGGGGCAGTTTATTTT